CAACAACAACAACAAAACGTTCAAGATAAGAATGTTATTATTATTATGGGATATCAAATCAAACAATTATTGATCATTGTTTTTTTTGAAAAAATGTTGATTTCAACTTGAAGTGGGGGGAAACAAGGGAGAAAAAAATATTTCCGATTAATTCAATGAATCAATAAAAAAATAATTTTATTTGATCATCATTACAAATTGTAAAATTAAAAGTAAAAGACATGAAAAGAAAAATTATATGGTATCACAAAAAAATTATTTGAAAATTTATTACAATTTTATAAATAAATTATATTAAAAAAAATTGATGAGAAGTTAATGTTTTTTTTGGCGATTGTCGAACACTTTTTGGTTTGAGAAAATTATCCAATTATTTTGGCAATAAAATCAGATCAGATTGTAAATTATATAACAGTTATTTGAGAATAAAAAGAAGAGAGATGGCCAAAGAATTCATTCAGATTTTCATTGATTATTTGTTATTTAAAAAACCGGAAAAAGTGAACGAACAGAATTGATTGATAAATGAATTAGGCAGCGAATGATAATTATAAATAAACAAAATGATAAAATTCAATTCAATTCAACTCTTGCATGAATTTTTCCATCCAATTGTGGTAATAATTGATGATCATCTTTAATATTTATCCACAATGAATCTGAACCACAATCCAGTTTTTCCGATTCACTTGATTGTCGTTTGAAAAAAAATTCCTGTATACCATTACGTTTGGATGGAATTTGTTGTTTGAATGTTAATAATGTTATATGTGGTCCCATCAATGTTAACTTATGTGGAACTTCTTCATTTGAAAATTTAACATATGCTGGTATTGGCACACAATTTGCTGAAGAATTAATTGATAATGCAGAATTGAATTGATTTATAAAATGTGGTTGTGGTGATAATGGTGATGGTGGCGGTAATAATTGATGTATCGTTGTGGATGTTGCTGAATTACCACTTTCAGTTAAAATAGCTGCTGTAGAATTGGTAATTACCGGTTGACCAGCAAAATAATGAATTTGCTGTTGTTGTTGTTGCAGATTATTATGAGCATGAGTAAATGTCGGTACAGCCGATGTTGATTGATTCGATGTTGATGGTGAATCAGCATTTGGTGTTTCAAAAACCTGTGCAAAATGTTTATCCAATATTGCTTGACCACTTTCATTTTTCAGCGTACTAAAATCAATATTTTTCAATGCTAAACCTAGACCAGATTCACGATAATTTGATGATTTATTATTCGACGATGATGATGATGTTTGATTATTATTATTATTATTATTGTTGGCTGTTGTTGTTGTTGAATTTTTTCCAACACCAGCTTCACGCTGTTGAATATTGTTACCAATTTGTTGTGATGATGATGATCCAGGCAATGATGGTGAATGTGAACGTTCAAATGATTTGAGCGCTTGACTTAATTTAATATCGGTTTCTTGTTCTGAACGAACTTTATTTAATTTTTCAATTAATTTCCGGGCAAATTCTTCTGGATCTTCAGTAGGTAATAGCTGATTTTTTAATTGTTGTGGTGGTGGTCGTTGGAAACGTTGTGCTAATGTTTTATTTGATAATGACATTGAATTACGTATGGATGATTTTCTATCACGTGCTGAACAAACTAACGATGAATCACTTGATGATATTGATTCAATTTCAGAATCTTTTTTCGAATTATGTTGTATTGATGAATATTGTGCATGTCTATTTACATGATATGGATGTGGTGGACAATTTTCCAATTGATAATATTGTAGCTGTAATCCTGGTAAACGAGAGTTAACACCTTGTGATGAATTTAATTTATTTGATAATGTTAATGATCGAAATGATTGTTGTTGTTGTCGTGAATGTTGTTGATATTGTTGTTGTTGTTGAGCGGATTTAGGCACAACTTCAATGACAGTTGTTGAATCACCATCTTCACTGATTTCATCAATAACAGGCATATCATATCTGTTTATATAATTATTATTTGACCTATTTTTTCGAATAAAAAAAATTACAATTATCATTTTATAAAAGTAAAAACTAATGAATTACTCTGCAATTGATTCTTGTTCCGTTTGATCATCCGCATTCTGAAGTTCTGAATTGCATTTTCCATGCGAAGATTGTTGTTGATCAGAATAATTCGTTGTTTTGTTGCATGACGACGATGTTCCAGCTGCTGAAGATGATTGCGTTTGTTGAACATTGTTTATTGTCGAATCAAATTTATTAATATAATCAAAAAATATTCTTGATTTGAGAAAATTTTGATAAATACCACCACTTAATTGTGCTTCAATTTCATCGAATGCTTCATCAAATGTATTGGCATCCAATTGACGATTTGCAGAATGATCGTTTGTTGATGAATCTTGATTATGATTACGTTGATTTTTATAAATATCTAATAAATTTTGTTGACATTTTTCCGATAATGAAAGTATTTGTGGATTCAATATGAAACGTTTAAATATCACAGAAATTAAACGATTTCTAGTGGCAATATCGATTTCCTGAGATTTCAAACCAATACAGGCAAAATAAAAATTTAACATATAATCAGCACCAGCTTGTGCTGTATATTGTCGAAACAAATTAACACCATCACGATCATCAATCAATGAATGAAAATCTTTTGACCAACGATCAATTATTTGTAATGGTGTTTCGATATTCGATGATGATGGTGTCGATGATAATGGTGATGGTGATTGTTGTTGTTGTTGATCACTACTACCACAATCATCAATTTGATTGCGTTGTTGTGATTGACATTTTTGAGATTGATTTGTCATTGATTTGTCAACATTGACTGGCGGTGGATTTTCAACCGCAGTAGAATTACGATTTATTAATTTAGAATTGAAAAATTGTTGCGATATTGTCGATGGTTTTGATTGTTGTCGATTATGATTGTTATGTTGTTGATGATAATTTTGTTGTGATTCTTGATGATGACGACGATAATAATTTGGACTTTGATTAATCGATCCAGCTGTCATAGATGATAATTGTTGTTGTTGTTGAATCAATGTTACTGATGCAGATGCGGATGATGATGGCGATGGTGATGGTGATGAACTTGTTGGTGATGCAGTTGCAAGGCTCATGATTATTATTAAGATTTTTTTTTCAATTTTGTAATCTATAAAATGTTGTTAACATTCATTAAATTATGATGACATTTTTTAATTAGAATAATTTTTGGTAAATCATCGATAGAATCCTATAGCATTTAAATGAACATTGAAAAAACAAGGCAACCAAATCAGCTTATGTGTGCATGGCCAAAAAAAACGATCAAAAAAAATTAATCAATCAAAGACACAACAAACCAAATGAAAACAAAAACAACAACAACATAATCAAAGAATATACCCAATGGACCATGATGATGATCACATATACAACATATGTATGCAAACAACACACACACAAAGAACTAATCATATCTTTTTGAGCCAGCACAATCGCCGCCACCACCAACAACAACGAAAACAAAATGATCACGATGATCCCACACACATAACACTTGTAGGATTTGTTTTCCTAATACACCATGCGCCATCTATTAACATCGATATGAGTGTATTCAAAAAAAAAAATTTGGGAAAAAAATCAGCAAATCAAATTAGTAATTTTAATTGAATTTTTAATTTTTAAAAAATAATAATCATAGAAAAAAAACAAATTAAAAATGAAATAAAATCTTTTCAGATTGATTGAATCTATTTAAGTTCCAAATTAATCGATTATGATGATGATTGTTGTTGTTGTCGAAGTTCATCTTTTTGTTTAATTTTATATAAATACTATTTTTTCAATGAAAGAAAAATAATGATTAAATCGGCTTGATGAATGAAAAACACAAACACATACCCTTTGATAAAATGTTATATAACCATCAAAAAGTTTATCCATTTGTACCCGATTCGTTTTAGTTTTTTTGGAAAAATTTTCGGCTTCTTTTTCATCATCATCGATAATCATTTTATTTGTTGATTTTCTACATAAAGAGGACGATGAAGAAATATTTTGATTATCAAACATATTGATCAATGAATGATGATCAATATCATTACGAATCGATTGAATTTCAATACCGGATGATTTATCATTATTGTTATCATTGTTTTTTCTCGAGTTTGGTATGAATTTTTTCAATTCATTTGACCATTGTAATAATGGTTGATCAATAATGAAATGTTCATTTTGATCATTAGCTAAATGATCATCATCATTATTATGATGATCGTTATGATGATGATCAATAGTTAAAAATTTATTAAAATTCAATGGACGATCAATAAGAAGATCATTAGTTAAATCAATTGTAATATCATTTTTCATTGATGATTGAATTGTTTCGGTAGAATTTTGATCAATTAAAACTTTTGAACGAGCATCGAATATTATTCGATGTATTTCATTAATATATTGACGAACTAATGGTGGAATGGGATTACAACATGCCAATATTCCTTGTTGTTCTCTATTAAAATAAAATTTCATTTGAAAATTGATCATACAAAAACTTTGATAATGAAAAAATACCTAGGCAAAATTTCACAAATTTTTAGCAAAAGATTATTCGGTAAAACATATCCAGTACTTTCATCTTCTTGTCGAGCAATCAAATCACGCCAAACATATAATGATTTTAATGCAGCCATTTGTCGGGGATTAAATCGAAGATTATTTTTCCAAATCAAATGAATATGATCATTGATTTCTGGTAGTTTTTTCTCATATCGCTAAATTATTAATATAATTAATTGTTGATTGAATTTCAATTAAAATGTCAAAAAATTTACCTTAAGACACATTTGTTGACTACGTTCCATAACAACACGTAAAAGATTTCCAGTTTCATTACCGGCATCCAATAATTGTTGTTTTAATTTTCGATAAATATACAGTAAAAAATGTGTATCACAACGTGCATATTGAAGCATTTCTTCAGGTATTGGCCGTATACGCCAATCAGCTAATTGAAAACGTTTATCCAATTGATAATGACAATAATGATCAACCAACGATGATAATGATAAATGTTGATAATCAAGTGTTTTGGCTGCAACCCATGTATCGAACATATTAACAACATAAATACCTAGATCACGTTGTAACCAAATAATATCGTATGTTGATGAATGAAATACTTTCAATATTGATGGTAATGTAAATATTTCATTTAATATTTGTATATCATTCCACAGGGGAAATACATCGATAATATAATCAGTCAGATCGGTTGATATTTGCAACAAACATGTTAAACCTTGATAAGATCTAAATGAATGATGTTCAAGATCGATGGCAATTTCCTGGAATCTTTTCAGATCCTCAATCAATTCATGAAGATCATCACGTTTATTAATGAATTTATAACGTTTTTCCTTTAACGATTCGGATGATGGTGGTGGCTGCTAAATGGTTGAAAAATGATTAAAATGAATTTATGCTAAATGTTAAATTCGTAAATACCTTTGATTCATCCGAAATTTGGTGGTGAAAAAATTCCGATGGTATTTTAAAATTTTCAATTTCATATTGATAAGGATGTTGATAAAAATATTTTGGATAATTGTAACCAGGTATAAGATTTGCTGGCAGTTCATTTTGCGATATCGGTTTCAATGAATCTTCCAATGATACAAGCGAATTTGGTTTTCTGGTCAATTTCGGTATGAATGGCGTTGAATATGAATTATCTGTTTTGATTTTATATACAATTTGTGGTCGTTTAACATTTGATGCTGCAATAAATAGAAAATTTCTTTTCGATTGTGATAAAGGAGAAGAATCAACATTGTTGCTGTTATTATCCGATGGATATTTTCGTTTAATACCGGATTGATTTTTATTAAAATCTTTGATAAATATTTTTGAATTATTTTGCTTTGAATCAACATTCATTTGGACTTGTATTAAATTTGGTTGAGAACTTTTTCGTTTTTCTTTTAGATTTTGTGCACATTCAAAATAATGTATCTTGGGAGAAAAAAACAATAAAGTTTAAATTAAATTTAAAAAAATCTTGATTAATTCAATTACCGTTTTATCGATTAATGCATCGTCAATTTCCAATAATTTTGAAATTTTTTGTTGATCATCAAATTTTGCTCGTGTAAAATTACAATCACGACTATTTGGATTAAGATCATTTTGATTTAATTTTGTTAGAATTTTCAATGTATTACAACATTGAATTTTTATTAAATTTTGAATTTTTTCATTCTTTTTAGCATTTGAATTTTGTAGAATTTCTTTTGCTAACAGAATTGTTTCTTTAATTTTATCATTAAAATCTGATATTGTAAATGTATCTTTTGCCAAAATGTCCGATGATGATGACGATGACGATGATGAAGTTGTCTGTTGCTTTAATGAATTTGAAAATTTACAAAATTGTTGATGAAGAAAATAAAATTACGTACCATGATTTAATTTGGATGAATATTTTTTTTAATTACAAACAAAAACGATGAAAATTAAATCAACAAAAAAAACACATTTTTTTCCAATTCCAAACACAAACACGTGACGTTTATGAACCGTACAAAAAGTACGTTTCACAATGAGGAAATTTTTCTGATTCGAATATCTTCGGTGAGGTTAGGATAATTTGATGACGAGGAAAATCAAAAATGATAACATTTTATCAATCAATCGAGAAAGGAAAAGTAATGTAATTTGTGATTTCTGTTCGCCAAACAAACAAAGCAACAACGAAAAAAACCAGATTTTGTTTCCTCTTGAAATATCATTTATGAATATTGATTGATGATTGATTGATTGATCACACAGAAAAACAAAAACAAATCTTCAACAGAGCCGACGCTAAATTTTTTTTACTGAAAGAGTTTGTGTTACACACACACACATATCAATGTGAAGAGAAAAATATTCATCATGTTTATGATTTTATCAATAACTGTTTTTGGATTTTTTATCGGATGGTGGTGGTTTCATTTAGATTGTGATTTTGAAACATATTTGGCACTTAAATTTGGACGTTCAATTGGTAAAGTTTTTTCATCGTTGTTTGATTGTTATTTTTAATTGATCAATCGGGTAGATTCATTAAATGGAAAAATTATATGGATAACCGGTGCATCATCCGGTATTGGTGAAGGTCTTGCATATAATCTTGCATCAGTTGGTTGTAAATTAATATTATCGGCAACAAATGAATCAAAATTACGTGATGTTGCTAAACGTTGTGTCGGTAAGTTTTCAGTTGAAAATAGTTTGTTTCTTTTTATCATTATCATTTTCTTTCGTTTAGAAATTGGAAGATATTCGGAAAATGATGTATTGGTATTACCATTCAATATAACCGATACGGATTGTCATCAACAAATGTTGGATAAAGTTTTACAGCATTTCAACAAGGTGATTCTAGCGATGATTATGATCAATGATAATTGATGATTTTCATATTCACTTTAGTTGGATATTCTGGTCAATAATGCTGGACGAAGTCAACGTGCATCATTTCTTGAAATTGAACCTGAAGTTGATAAACAATTATTCGATATCAATGTATTTGGTTTGGTCAATCTAACTCGGGTTGTTTTACGTTATTTTCTCGAATATAATCCTGATGGACAATTTGGTGTAACAAGTAGTACTGCAGGTCTTTTAGGTGTACCATATTCAGCATCGTATACTGGTTCAAAACATGCATTACATGGTTATTTTGAATGTCTTCGAACGGAACTTGGACGTCGAAAAATATCGATAACAATATTCTGTGTTGGTCCAGTTTTTTCCAATTTATTGGAAAAAGCATTTACAGGTGAACCAGGTAAATTGGTTGGCGGTAAACAACCAGCCGAAAGTAAACAAAAATTATCTGCAAAACGTTGCAGTTATTTAATGGCAATAGCATTAGCTAATCATATCGATCAATCATGGATATCATTACAACCAATTCTGACATTTCATTATTTTGCTGTTTATTTTCCACAATTATTTCGAAAAATTTTTCCATATTTTTATGATGAAAAAAGAAGCCAAGAATTTCGTGATGGTTGATTGTGATTTGTCAACAACAAAAATTCATCGATAAAAATAATATTTTTTAAAAAAATTAAAAAAAATTTAAATCGATCGACTCTATTCCCGGGCTTGATTCATATACAACGTATGCGAATTTTGTTTTTCCGAATCCAGAATTTTTTTTTTTCAAAATGATGTTATTTTTGTTGATTATCTTTGCAATTTTTGGTTATTTTTTATGGAAATTTGCACAACTTGATCATGATCTTGAAATTTTATTGGCATTAAAATTTGGAAAATCAATAAGTTTAGTTTAAATTCGATTATTTTCAAATGAAATTTTAATTTTTCGTTTTTTCTGTTGCTGTTTTTGTTTGTTTCATCAAAAAAAAGGTACAATCAAAGGAAAAGTTGTATGGATAACCGGTGCATCATCCGGTATTGGTGAACATTTAGCCTATGTTTTAGCATCAAATGGCGCTAAATTAATTCTTTCCGGTAGAGATGAATCAAGATTGAATAAAGTTGCTCAAACATCTTGTTGTAAGTATATCCAAAAGTTGAGTTAACAAAACCAAACCAAAAAAAAATCGATTTTTTCAATTAGCTATCGCTAATTATGATGAACAAAATGTTTTGGTTTTACCATTCGATATTATTGATCGTCATTGTCATCAACAGATGATGGATAAAGTTTTAAAACATTTCAATCGAGTAAGTTTTTTTATTGGTTCTGAAAAATGATTGATTTATTGCCACGTTAAACTATTCTATTAGTTGGATATTCTTGTGAATAATGCCGGACGTGCACAACGTTCATGGTTTGTCGATGTTGATTCCGAAATTGATCATCAATTATTTGAAATAAATGTATTTGGTTTGGTTAATCTAACTCGTATTGTTTTACGTTATTTTCTGGAACATAATCCTGATGGACAATTTGGTGTGACAAGTAGTACAGCCGGTATTGTTGGTTCGCCATTTATATCATCATATTCGGCATCTAAACATGCTTTACATGTATGTTTATCAATTTTTTCAATGATTACTTAACCTAACCTATTGCTGTATAGGGATATTTTGAAAGTTTACGTAATGAATTAGGTTCGCAACAAACAACAAATAATATCGGTATAACATTATTTTGTGTTGGTCCAACATTTTCAAATATACTTTATAATGCATTTACCGGAAAACCGGGTGAAATTGCACGACAAATTCAACCACCATTAAGTAATCGTATGACAACTGAACGTTGTGCATATTTAATGGCAATTGCATTAGCAAATCGTTTGGATCAAGTATGGATTACCAGGCAACCAACATTATTGATGCATTATGTTTCACAATATTTACCACAATTATTTCGTAAAATTGCACCAAAATATTTGTCCAAAAAAATGTTAAAACATTTACGAGATTTAAAATGAAATTAAAAATGAGAGAATTTTTTTATTCTAAATGCATTCGAATTGGTTTTAAATATGATACCTGTACAATTTGATTATCATTACCATCATCAACAATTTCATATTCATCGATAATAATCTTTTTATTTTGAAACATAGGACAACCGATTGTCATTGATTCATATTCACCACCTTCACCACAAACATTAAGTTGATATTTTTCATTCAATTCGATCAATTTTTTCAATAAATTTTCATCAATTTTTCGACCCAAATATTGTCGTGGATCAAGACCGAGTGCAGCAGTTTTTATCAATAAAGCTTCAATACCTGAATCAATCATTTCTTTGAGTAATTCTATTTGATTTCTTCCCCAAAGTGGTGATAAAAGTTTAATTGATAATCTTGAACAAACATTTTCAGCTCTTAATCGTTGATAATTGGAATGAATTGCACCACATGTAATGGCATCGAATTCAAAATCACGACGAATATCGGATAATAATTCATAAAGATCTTCAACTTCATCACCATCAACTGGTGAATTATATTCCATTTGCTGATTAACCGGTTTGCCTCGAATAATTCGCTGATATAATGGAACATTTAGTGCTTTTGCTTGTAATTCCAGTACATCTTGTCCAACAGTTTGATACATATATGAATCTAATTCTTTACCCGATTCGGATGGTTTTAGATTAGCTAAAGCAACTAATTTATTATCGGAATTTTCTCGTGCAATCAAATGCATTGCATAACAAGAATCTTTACCGCCACTTAATAATGCAACAAATTTCATTTTTTTCAATTCAATCAACAACCAAAAAATCGCAAAAAACAATTTTTAAATTTTAAAACCAAACACGTGCAAAATACAAACCAAAACATTCCGTTATCTATGAACATGACACCACCACAAAAAAATGACAGCTGTTGTTATTGTTGTTTGCAAATCAAAAAACGCATGCGTCAATCCAAAAAAAAAAAAGAAGCAAAATATAAAAACAACAGTGTGGGCGCGAGCCAACAACAAAAAAAGCGCATGTTATCATCAACAAAAAATATTTTCGGTGTGGATCCGTGATGATCATCATAATCATTTTATTTTTTCTTTCCTTTCTTTTTTACTGCTGCTGCTGCTTCCAACATTGGTTTCTTTCCCATTGATGATGCTTTTTGCTCTTTCAATGTTTTAACATTTCGCTTTAATATTTTTCCATTCCATTTCTCTGTGTGTTCTGCTGTTGTGTGTTTCCAGTTTGTTTTTCTCAATAATAATTTTTTATCATTTTTTTTCTCTCTCTATGTTTTTATTTTTCAAAAATAAATCATCATATTGATGTGTTATATTCGCAAACATTGAGAGAAAAAGAGAAGATGATGACGATAATAATCATTTTCTATGATTTGCGTCGTCGAATAAAAATCATCATCATAAACTAAACTTTTTAAAAACAACAAACGTTCGAACAACGACGACGACGACTAAAACCAATCGGATCAACCAAATTCGAAACATCATCGTCATCATCATAATAATCATCATTATCGTTATTTGTTGTTGATGGCAACAAAAACAACAGACAAGTAACGAAATAATAATAATAATAAAAACAACAAGGATCCATCATAATCATCATCATCATTAGAAACAAATATCAAGAGATTTTTTTTAATGATAATGATGATTTACTTTTTCTAGATTTAGGTTTGATTTGGATTTCGTTCATTGTATGTTTTGTTTTGTGCCATTTTGTCTTTACTGTTTTTGTTTTTATGTGATTTTGTACTTTGAATTTGTTTGTTTTTGTTTTGTTTTGTTCATCAACCATCCCGATCGATATTGAATCAAATTATCGATCAAAATATTGTATTGAATTCGAATAATAATCAATCCCACCAGCACCACCACCATTTCGTAAAAACAAAGTAAAAAATTATTGCCAACATCATTCTATCTCATTTGACAACAACAACAAAAATCTATCTGATTTTATCATTGCAGTTTGCCGGTAATAGAAAAAAACGGTAAGATTATTTTTCTGTTGAAAAAAAATCATTGGAAATTTTTTTCCCATTCATCATCTTCAATCAATAAAATTATTATTATGTTTTTCTTTCTCTTTGAAAATTAATCAAATCAAAATCGATCGAATAGAAAAGACAAGTGATATTTATTGTCGAAATTTTTTTTTTTTGCTTTTTCCAATGATAAAATGTATGGTATGTTTTTGTTTGTTTGTTTGTTGTTGTTGTTATGAACATGTTTCATCATCATCATCATTATCATCATTGACGTGATTTTATTCAAAACGAGAAAGAAAACATAACAAATTTTCTCACCCTGTTTATTTTGTTTGGCTCCAGAATCACACATCATTATTTTTTCTTCTTTTTGATTCTTCATGTTTTTTTCTCTTCATCATTTTTTCCTAATGTAAATTACCCTTAGTTAGTGAACTAAGAAATGAAAATAATAAAGGTAAATTCTGTTTACAATAATATGATGATTTCAATCATTAAAATGAAATGAATGAATGAAAAAAAAAATCCAATTTCAATCTTGTCACACTTTTTATTTTGTTTTCAAATAGAAAACGAAAATGATAAAATAAAACAAATAAAGAACGAAATATAGAAGGAAAATTTTGGGTTTCTTGAGAAATTCAATTTCTTTGGAATTTTTCTTTTATCTTCTTGGTTTGCTTATCGTAAATAACGTTTGTTTGTTTGTCTGTTTGCTATAGTAATAATTTCCGGCAAGATTCTCTTTTCCAAAGGATTCCACAAAAACAACATTCCAAAGATTATTTTCTTCTATTAGTTTGCTGTTTTTCCCAATTTCATTTCGACTTTGATTTTTTTTATATATAAGGCCGGAATCCTTATTATTTTCAACTAAATAAACGAAAACAAAAACAGAAGAAAAAATCCATTTCATAATAAAAAGATGAAGATGCCAGCGAAAAAAAATAAATCCATTCTAGCGATTGGCCCTATGGGGAAAACAAAATTGATAATATACCAAGGTCGCCAAAAAAAAAGTTTATGTATGTGGGGGTGGTTGTTGGGAAAAACAATAACCGAAACAAACAAAAAAAATCCCTACTCTAGAATCGTAAAAGAAAAGCAAAACAAACATTTATCGATTCTGGTGTTGCTGCTGCTATCAATAAAGATTGAATATTTTAGTTCTTGGTGATAGTGATTACTTTTCTTTTTTTGTTTTTGGCCCGTTTCGAAACCCAAATGAATCGACAGAATCGTAAACAAACAGAATCACAAAAAAGAATTGAAATAAAGTTTCTAATTCTTTTTTTATCATTGCTTTTTGTTTGTTTTGCATTTTCGCACTTTTGATCCCTTTGATCAATTAAAGAAATGAGAATATTCTGTGTTTTTTTTTCGTTGTTATTTTAAGTGTATAATGATGTTGTTTCAGATAGTAATAATATTCTTGCCTCTAATTGATTGATTGATTATTCATTTTAGCACCCAATTTTAGTTATTATTTGTTGAACAGCTAAAAGGAATATTCTGTTTTCGTTTTGGTTTTTATTTTTTCCCCCAAAAAGCCGGTTTCTGAAGTTTTTTCCCATTTCCCAAAAAAAAGTTTCCGGTAAGAAAATGATCAAGAAATTGAAAATCAAGGTTAGGTTATTATTTTGCCGAATTCATTAATTTTTGTTTTTGTTTTTCGTCATTCACATCATAAAATGGCCATGATAATCAGTGCATCTTTGCCAACCAAGAAAAAAAATGACAAACTATTGATTGATTATCAATCGATTAATCAAAAATAATGATAATTTTGTTTTTGACCATCATTGACCAGATTGTCATCATGATGATGTCATCAAAGAAGACTTGTTTTTTTTCTCGTTTTTTTTTGTAATTAAAAATTAACATTTTTTTCTCTCTTTTCCTTAAGATTAATCAATTAATAATAATCATAAGATTCACCTTGCTTGTGTGTGACAAGATGTATGTTTTTCAAATTTGTTTTTATAAAAAGATGTTCACCTTGTTACGATCAACTGATTATCAAGATTGATCAAGTATAACCCAACATTGAAAAACATTGATTCATTGATGATGATGATAATGATAATGATTTCAAGTTTTTTTAAATCTTGGTTTTTTTTTCGCTTCGCTTCTGATTCGAATCCAAATCCAAAATTCAATTCAATAAACCAGAAATGATATTGCAGAAAAATAGTTGTAATTTTAGTTTGATGATGATTGTATTATTGTTTGTGATTAATTCAATTAATTATTTAATCTCATGAATTGAATGGAATTGACAAATTTATATTGGACATTTTGTTTGTTTGTTTTGTATTGGGTTGGGTTAGATTGGGTTATTATTAATTTCATTTTCGAAAGGTGTACCGAGTCTATATTGATATTGATTATATGAAATAACGACGCATTTTTTTTCTTTAGCTTCCTTTGCACATACAGTTATCCAGAATAGGGGAAAAAATTCTTTTGAAATCCTGAGTCAGAAGATTTTTCTTTGGAAGAAAAAAATCCTAGTTCAATTTAAGCTAAACTAAAATCAATGATATTATGAACATAATGTGGTTGTATTTTTTTTTAATACCTGTATTGTCTGCACCTGATCTTGTCATCTAAATGACGATGTTATTCAATAATAATGATGATGATGACAACAACAAAATATGATTTAAAAAATATTTTACAGAAAAATGAAATGAAAAGCGTTGCCTATACCTATCCATAACATAACCAAAAGTCGAATAAACACCTTGAAAATGAGAAAAAAGAAATCCATCAAGATATTTAATATGATGATGATGATGGAATCCCTAGAAAAATAAATGTTCCTTCCTTCATCATCATTCTGTGAATTTCTTACTTTATTAAATATTAATGAAATGTTTGTGTTTGGTGAAATTTTAAATGTCAAAATACACACAAACGAACAGGCACAGACATGGAAAGAATCGTCGAATAGAAAAATTATTTGGCATTTTTTTCTACTGCTGTTGATGTTGATGATGATGATGAAGGACAATAATGATGATGACGATGACATGATTTGTGTGTGTGATTAAAACGTAGAAAAAAAGTTTGATTTTGGTTCATTATTGAATAAAATCCAATATAGTAAATTGAATTGAATTTTTTTCTCGAAAAAAAAATGATTTTATTTAAACAAAAACAACGATAACGATAATAGAATATAGATGCTCAAAATGAAAGTAGGAAAATTGAATGAAATGAAATCCCTTTGAGGCAGATTGATTTTTGTTGTCGTTGTTTGTTTGTTTGTTTGTTGTGTATTCAGTTCACATCGGCGATGCTTTTCAATTTCACATTAGTAATTCTTTTCATGACCAAGAATATGTTTCTGTTTCTTGTTTTTTTTTAATATTCCACTTATTGATTCAATCGAAAGAAATGACAAAAAAATTGTTTTCTTTCTGACCTTATTCAATTTGTTATTTAACCAATGAAACTTTGAAATAAAAAAAATCAATTATTATTTTGAAATGTTTTTGCTTTTGGTCATTTTCCAATCAATAATAATATTGATTTTTTTGTTTTGCAGGCAAAATTATTGTTGAAAACGTTTTGAAATTGATATCCAGGAAAAATTTTCATCATTTTTGTTTTTGTTTTTTTCTTTGCTATAGGATTTTTGAAAATTTCTTCTTTTTTTTTGCCGATAAAAATCTAAATCCAGATTGTTTTTGTAATTCATCACCGAGCACCATAATAATCATAATAATAAAAAGGTTTGTAAATTTTTTAAAAATTTATTACGTTTTTTAAATTATTTTTTTTCGCAAAAATACAAAACAGACAAACAAATCATTCATAAATAAAGGGATCATCTTTATTATAAAACCAAACCAACGTCGTCACAAATTTTAACGTTTTTTTTTCTGATAAATTTTTCTTGATTCGATTTGAATGAATCGAATTGATTGTTTTTCAATCAAAATCAACCAATAAATTCATCGATTATTTAAACTCAATGTTTACTGTGTGTGTGTGTTTATGTATCTGATTTTCATTGATGGTTCGATCATTGATTTTTGATTAAAACTTATCATTTTGTGTGTTATGTGAATGTGATATTGTTTTGTTTTTTAAATTTCATATTTTTCTTCGTTTGAAAACACGAATCCATTAACGAGCAGAATTTTTTGAAATTCTTCAATTTTTGTTTGTTTGCTTTGGTTGCGATCTTGCCAACACAATATTAGCTTGTCATTAACTCATCTCAGCCATCATTCTTGTTCTGATGATTTGGTTCGACACCACAATCATAATTCACAAGAATCAAGAATCAGCAATTTCCTTTTTTCGCCATTAATTATCATCTAATTTTGTTTAAAAACAAAACAAAACAAAAATGATCATGATGATCACTAGCAGTAACAATGCATCAACAACAACAACAACAAACACTATTACATCATCATCATCAACAACAACAGCATCCACCATTACTAGTCTTTCAGATATAACCACATCATTATCATCAACAACGACATTAACATCATCCAACAATAACAATATGTCAAATACAACGATGGTTTCATCATCATCATCATCGACCACAACAACGATGACGCCGATATCATCATCTGTGTCAACAACAACAACAACAACAACAATGCCTATGATGACAAATAATAATCATCATAATGATTGGACTGGTGGTGATGATTGGAATGATGATGATGGTGGTGGTGGTGATCATGATTTGATGGATAATTCTGATATTCATGATAATGATAATAATAGTGAGAAATATATTAATTATTCATCATCAGATTCGTCATCATCATCCCATCATCATGTACCGGTGATAATGTCATTGAATTTAAAAAGTAAAAATGAAACATCATCCATAACCGGTAGCGGTGGCCATAGTGTTGGTGGTGCTCATAGCGTTTGGACAACAAATCAACCACATTCACCTGTTGCAGAAAGACGTGAACGTAGATTAAGTGCATCACGTTTCGAAATAAGTGAAAATCGTGAATTAATAAAATTACCACCAATCAAAGATGTACCCCTGAATGAACGTGAAGAATTATTTATACAAAAAATTCAACAATGTTGTGTTTTATTTGATTTTAGTCAAGATCCATTATCTGATCTCAAATGGAAAGATATTAAACGACAAACATTACATGAACTAGTTGAATATATTGTTACACAGAATAATGTTATTACTGAACCTATTTATCCAGAAGTTGTTCATATGGTAAGCATCATTCAATCTAATCATTTTTCCTAAATCGCAATTCCACTATTTTCAATTTATCCATTTCAATCATGTTTTTTTCAAGGAATTTCTTTCCTTTTTAAATCGACTACTACTGCTGCATAAGTAGCATGGTTGTCCAAAAAAAATTATCAAAAATCTTTTAGTAACCAAAAAAAAACATTCATTTTTAACCTGACATTTTAGGTAATCATAGTTAAGGAAATAGCAAACGAAATTGATGTTAAACTTTTTTTTTGATTATTTCAAGTTGATCATAAATCAATTTTTTGTTGAAAAGGATTTTTTTGGTTTTCCTCTTTATGTTTCAAATTGATAATCTTTTGGATGATGATTTTTGTTCTCTCTCCCTCTGTTGTTATAGTCATTCCTCATTGTAAAATTGATTGATTTTACGATTGTTTTTGTGGCTTGTTTTTTTTTGATTCGATATAAAATTTCTTTTCGATACATTTGAGATCCGGTTTTTTCAATCAATCAATCAAATCAGTTGCAAAATTTATTTTTTTTTCTAGAAGAAAAAATTTTTCATAATGATCATCATGTAATTTGTTGATCTGAATGACATTTCATTTTGTGTAGACTTGATTTGTGCGTATGATATGTCTTTTTTTGAAATGAAACCATTTCAAAATGAAATATATACCTTTACATGTTTGAATTATTCATTATTTTGTTTCAAACATTGTTCATTCTATTTTTTTGAGAGGAATCGATTTTTTGCCTAAAAGAATTTTCAATTTTTAAAAATTTTAGCCCTTTTCGAATATCTGTTGAATCCAACCGAAAAAAATCGATCACTATGATGATGATGACTTTTTATCGTTCCATTTCCATGATCTAGATTTTTGTCCACTCCGTCTTTTTTCTTAACATCACCATCATCATTAATCAGGCTAACTAACTTACTAACTAACTAAGCATTCAATTATAGATGATTCTTGTTTTTGTTGTTGATTTTCTTTTTTTCTTGGATAAACATGAAAATGTTTTTATCATACACAGAGGGCCATTTCGATGTTGTTGTTGTTTACGATGTTTATCTTTTCTTTCAAGTAAACATAAATATATCATGTTTGAACCAAAAAGCCATTTCTGTTTTTTTTGATATTTAGTTGAAATAGAAAACCGGTATTACTTATTAAGTTTTTTTCTCTGGTATTTCTATCAAAAGATTTTAATCATTGACGTCTACTGTCTATGTATGTAGGTGTATGTAATTTGTATCAGGAAAATAAAAATAAAAAGATTAAAACTTTAGAACGATAGAATCTATATATCTATAATTTTGCTGAAATCATCATCACCATATTGTGCCGGTTTTCCGTCTTTTTTCTTGTTAACATGATGTTATACATTGTACATTTTATTATTTCTTTATTTAAAAAAAAATTGTTACACTAACAACGATTTGGGATGTTGTTGTTAGATGTTGATTGCGATCAAAAGAAAAAAAATGCGTTGTCAGTGTTGTTGTTGTTGTAGATAATGATAATGATTTATCAGAAAAAAATGTGTACAATTGAAAATTAGCATAATTTTATTTTGTCCTGGTGATTGATTTGTTATGTGGAAAAGTCTGGTTTTTTTCGGATGTTACTGTAGAGTTTTTTTTTGTTTGTTTGAATGATTCTTATCATTTTTTTGAACTGACATAGTTTTCAACAAATGTATTTCGTATATTACCACCATCATCAAATCCTAATGGTGCTGAATTTGATCCGGAAGAAGATGAACCAACATTGGAGGCGGCGTGGCCACATTTACAATTTGTTTATGAATTTTTTCTAAGATTTTTAGAATCACCCGATTTTCAAGCATCGATTGCTAAAAAATATTTTGATCAAAAATTTGTTTTACAAGTAAGTTTGCATTGAATCAATCAATTTGAGTGGATGATTATAATGATTAATGATTTGAAATTTATATAGTTATTGGAATTATTCGATAGTGAAGATCCACGTGAACGTGATTTTCTAAAAACATCATTACATCGTATTTATGGAAAATTTCTAGGACTTCGTGCCTATATACGAAAACAAGTGAACAATATATTCTATCGTTTCATCTATGAAACTGAACGACATAATGGCATTGCAGAATTATTGGAAATTTTGGGAAGGTTTGTTTGTCTCTTTTCATTCAATGAAGTTATTATTTTATTTTATTGATCTTTTTGATTATTATAGCATTATAAATGGCTTCTCATTACCAGTGAAAGAAGAACATAAAGTATTTCTACTCAAAGTTTTGATGCCATTGCATAAAGTAAAATCATTGAGTGTTTATCATCCACAATTGGCCTATTGTGTTGTACAATTTTTGGAAAAAGATCCCAGCCTTACAGAGCCTGTATGTTGAATTTTTTTAATAACTGAAATATTATAAATTTTTTCGTTTTCTTTTCAGGTGATTAAAAGTTTATTGAAATATTGGCCAAAAGTACATAGCCCAAAAGAGGTTATGTTTTTAAACGAGCTTGAAGAAATTCTTGATGTGATCGAACCAACTGAATTTCAAAAAGTTATGGAACCTTTATTCAAACAATTAGCCAAATGTGTTTCATCACCACATTTTCAGGTTGCTGAACGTGCACTTTATTATTGGAATAATGAATATATTGTTACATTGATGAGCGATAACATACAAGTGATATTACCAATTATGTTTCCAGCATTATATCGTAATGCAAAATCACATTGGAATCGTACAATACATGGTCTTATTTATAATGCACAAAAATTATTTATGGAAATGAATCAGGTTCTATTTCATGAATGTGTTCGTTCATTCAAAGCTGATAGACAAAAGTAAATATTATTGAAGACAATTTATTCCACACGATTCATTTAATTTATTTGTTTTGTTTTTTCCAGAGAGAAGCTTAAAATTAAAGAACGAAAAGAAGCATGGAAAAGAATGGATGATCTTGCCAAAAAGAATCCAACATTTGAAGAAATATCAACAACATTAAACAATTGTGATGATCTTTATCTATTTTCATCAATGTCCATCGACCCTTATAATGTGATTGATGATGATGATTTATTATTGGGTGATGATGATCTATTACCAGTTACAAATAATAGTGATAAATCTTATACTCAGGTTTGTTTTGTTTTTGTTTTTGTTTTTATTTTTCCAATAACATATAATTTCCTTATATAGATGGCCGAACCTGATAGTGATAATCTTAGACGTAAATTTAGAGAATATCGTAAATCAAGACCACATATTGATCTCTCAGCATTACAATTATCATCAATGGAACAGGATTATAAAAATACAATCGAAAATGGAATCGATAATAATAATGATAATGATTCAAATGATAAAGATAATAATGATAATTCGGCTAATAATGATACAATGATGACCAATGAAATGAATACCGACAATAATAATGATAATAAAGGAAATAATGATGAAAATATTAGTCAGAAAATATCGGCAAAAAATTCCGATACAAATTCCGGAAATACCATGGTAACAATGATCAATGATAATGGAGATAGATAAACTTTTAATTATTGTTTTTCAATCAATAACAACAACAACAATTTTTTATTAGCTTAAACAAATGTCGTATAAATAGTAAATACTAAATGAAACAATTTATATATTTTCCTTTTCATATGTGATTTTTACAAATTTTCCAATCCATCATTCATTGATGATGATGTTTTTTTCTTCTTCTACAATCGTTCAAAGCGGACATCATATCACACACAAATACACACATTGTTTGTTTGTTGTTGTTGTATCGATATTGTTAATGGGAACAATTTTTCATTCTTTTTTTTTAAATTTTTTCCTGATTATGTTTTTATCTGAAATTTGTAACCCTCGTATAGAATTGAATTGAATTATCATGAATCATGATTGTTTCATCATTATCATCATCATAAACATTTGATTTATATTTTTGATTGTTAAATTTTTTTTCTTTCCAGTAAAAAGGACATTAAATTTATAATTATGTAATTATCTAATGAATGATGATCATTCGGTTGATTATTAAAGTTGCCGTTTTGTAACAATTTTTTGTTTGTTTGTTCAAATTGAATTAAAATTTTTTTGTTTAAAAAAAGTTAATTAATAACGAATGTATTCGACAAGCAAATATTGTATATAAAACATTCGGTGGAATTTATTGAAAAATGTGGAGTGATTTAATTTGATTGGATGTCAGTCACATCACACATCCAATAATATTAAGTAAATGTCAAAAAAAGTTAAACGTGATGAAAGACGTGCCAAACTTTTAGATCCAACTACAACGGCACAAATCGATGAACGCACAATATTGATGTTAACGAAAAAAGGTTATCGTTTAATGACCATTGTTGGTTTCGGTTCATATGGCGAAGTATATAAAGCTGAACGATTACG